ACCCGAGTCACCCACCCAGCGCCGGCACGGGGGGAGCTATTTAAACTTATTTATTTCCTGATCTCCGAGAAGAAAAACCGCGCCGCCGCCGGCTCCCCCGGGAGAACAGCCGTCCTTGCCCTCCCTCCCTGCCCTCCGACCGCTGCGGTCCCGGCTTTGCTGTGCATGGCTTCCAGTTACTCCTGCTCCGCTCAGCCACGCGGCCTTTGGGTTTGGTTTCAATGTGGTTTTGTTTTTCTATTTTATTTTTTATTGTTGCTAGTCTTGATTTTTTTTTTTTTCCTGCCTCCTCCGACTTTTGCACAGGCTGACCGGAGGGGGGGCGGCCGCTCCCGCGGAGCTCCGCGCTGCCCCTCGGGCTGACTCAGGTCACAGCGGTTCTCCCTCATTTCCCAGAGTCACTTTTCCACCCCGGCCCCCGTGGCTTCGCCGTCGGGAAGGGGGACCCCTCCTGAGCAGCTCCCCATAAGCAGGAGCAGGGGAGGACTCTGCCCCTGCCGGTACTTGTGTGTCCCCGGTCCCCACGTCCCGCCCGTGCCGGGGCGGCCCCGCTGGGTCTCGGGGAGGAGGGACGGGGCTGTCCCCGCACTGCCCTGCCCGGCCGGGGGGGCTGGAGCTCGGGGGAAGGAGCCCACGCCTGGCCTTGGCTTCGGTTCCCAGGACACCCTCCCCAGTGCCCAGGACTGCTCCGGGCCCCGCCGGGGACCCTGCTGATGGAACACGGAGGGTGTTGGAGCAGAGCCGGGTCCAGCCATCACGGCCGTGCAAAGAGGAGGGGGTTCCCGGGAGCAGGGCCCGGCCCCTCTCCCTGTGTGCCCTGTCCCGGCCTGGCGGGGCCGGGGGGAGGGAGCAGGACACGGGAGGGCTCTGCAGGGCAGGGGACAGAGGCTGGGCCTGGCAGGACCCCGACAACACCCTCTGCTCTCCTGGCTCCATCCCCGGAGCAGCCCAGGGGGGCTCTGTGCCCTCCCCGAGGGATGCAGTGGGGGCAGGAGGCTCGTGTGGCAGCGTCCCCCCTGCCCAGGGGACACATGCTGAGGCCCCCTCGTGCCCTCACAGCTGGCCACGGGTCTCAGTCAGGCCCCAGCCATTCCCTGGGCCTTGGGGGCTCTCCCATCCTCCCCTGGCACCTCGTGGGTCACATCCTGCTGCTCGGAGCCCTCGGCCCAGTGGGTGTCCCCCAGCA